CTATTTGCCTGGAAATGACTCGAGTACGGAGCCCACCTTCATGATGAGCCTTCTCATCAGAGGAAAGCAGATGACCACGAGCCATGTTGACAATCAGGTTTAGAAATGCATTTGCTGCACATGCTTACCTTTATAACTAACTTTAAACACGAAATTTCCTCTCTTCCATGAGTAATTGTTCACTTTCTCAGGGTGTCCTTATAATTGTGAAACGGTGCAAAAACCGATAAACTGTTCTAAAAAAGTCCAGAAAAATGCAGCTGCGGCTAGAAAACGGATACCTAGGTTATTCGTGCTGGGGAATCCGTTCATGATGCCAGAAAAAATCCTTAATGATTGCTTTTCTTGAAAGTGCAAAATTTGAGGGTGACCTTATAATTATGAAACGCACTGTATTCGTCGCGTGAATCCCCATGTCTTAGGCCTCTTACCTTGTAACCAGGTTATGCAACCTCGCATGTTGAGGGCTTATACATAGAATTGAGAAGGAGACACTTGCCAATTTTGCTGTGCAACCTGATTAGTCACTGCACTACTCTGATCTCGTCCCTGTTCCAGGGCGACGGTATGAATGATCTCAGCCGAATCCGAATTACAGGTCTGAACCTCTAAACTGTTACTCGAACTAGCTGTTCTTCGCTTCGATAAATCTCGAAAGAGCTTTTAGAACTCAGAAAAGGTCTCAAATATGGAGTTTGTTGTGAAATCAAATGAAGAAGGCAGAAGCAGGCGGTTCAAATGCACTGAGCGGTTTGTTGGGAGTGAAGGCTTTAATGAGAGCACTTCATTCGAGCTAGAGCTCAGTTTATATACTCTTTTAAGGAATCACGTTCTACAAAACGCAACAATTTCATAAAGCCTTCCATCAACGTGTTAAAGTGGTTAATGGCATAGAAATGGTTGCATTTTCGTAACCCTCCCATCAAACATGGAATACAAATCAGCTCTCAATGGAATGTGTTCGTTCTTTTTTCTCGACTGAATTGCTCTCGACTGGTAAGGAAGCAAGTACCTTTTGCGCCTTCGTCTGCTCATCCTTTGTATTATACTGCTACTGATTCCTAGTCAGCTGACGGTTTGCAACCGATCAACCCGTCGCGAACGATCCCCTCATCATGTCGGATCGCCCGGCTAACGCCAGGCTCTCCTCCTTCTTGTGTCAAACACCCTATCCCAAGAAATGTTGAACTGAAGAATTTTATTCCCTTTTCAAAGTTTATAGTCTTTAAGTTTTTTGCGTGTTTAGCTAGTGAGGGTATGAAACTGAAACAGAGCTCGAAATCCTTCGGCACAACAGAAATCGAAAGCTCCCCTCTTTCTTTGATAGTTATAGTAAGTCTAATTCTCCACTCCTTTTTTGGAGCAAATGGCCGTTTCCTGTACACGAAATTGGACACAGGACTAACCGGGCAGTGCAAATGGTATTCAGTTAAAGTCGGTGCCTACGCATTCGACTGAAAGTCTCGAACTTTAGCTCTCTATCTTTGCAATAAATACCCATCAAAAATCCACTGTTAGACAATCAAAGGTAATGCTGTGGAG